GCCTCTTCTTGCCGTCGCTCGGACGTCCATTTCCAGTGCATTTTTCGGTTTCGTGCGTGTTTTTTTTGTGCTCGATGGTCTGGGATGGTCCTCGATGGTTCTCGCCGATAAAACATGCACACGTCCGAGCGATGCCAAGCCCTTGGAAATCCCGGGGACACCTTGGGCCGGGGCGCTTCTGGCAGCACCCGACCTTGGCAATGCCCGAGGTCCTGTCCCACTGTGCGCTCGGCCCTGGCCGGGACCTACTTGGCCACGAGCGGGTACTTGGCGAGCGTGTCGGCCGCGGTCTTCAGGCCGGCGTCCTGCGCCGCGCCCACTCGGACGTCGACAGACGGTGCTCCGCACGCATCCCCAGTTCGTCCTACTCGCAACAGCCTGCGAGCACCACGATCTTTGGCGGCGGTGTGGGGGGGGGGTATGGAAGGGGGGAAGGCTTCTCAGGAGGCTGCTTCTTAGAAGGCGCCGGCCTTCCACTCATGGATCAGGCCCGCGCTTTCTGAGGAGCAGCCTCCTTCTAAGAAGCCTTCCTCCCTCCCCCACACCCCTCTCAGCTCGTGGCCGGCCTGTGCGCGCCAACTTGCCTGCGAGCACCGCAACCTGCGCCTGAGCACCACAGCGCGGCTGCGGTCCGCAGCAGCAGAAAGCACACAGTCGGGGCGTTGACCCAGGGAACCCTGAATAAGGAACGAGGCCCCTTTCTTCCAGAAGTCAAACTTCGATTCCCCATCGACAAACATAAGGAAATCCTGAGGCAAGCTGCGAAGCAATTAAGGAACATGGAGCCCCTCCCCGACGAAAAGGGTTCCTTCTTCAGCGACCCGACTGTACACACCACTGCACGGCCAGACCCTGCCACGACACCACAGCGGCCGCGGCGCAACGAGGCGCCCAGCCCCGGCCACGACTGGCCCCCACCGAAAAACCAAGCAACATACTGCAAAGGAGTGCATACCCCGCCCCTTTCCCTGAAATCCCTCGCTGCGGAAAAAATAGCATGGTGAAGAATCACGATTGGAGACCTAGACCCCATTCTTTTCTGCGGCATTTCGTCTACCAATATCGATCTGTGATAGTCCCAAGGCGATCACGCATCGTGTGAAAGGTGGGCCGGAGCGTCCTGCGCAGCGTGGACCTCCGGCCCTGGGTAGTTGACCTGCCAGGTGGCGACATCCGAAACCTATCCCCGCCAACCATCGATTCTCCTGAATCGATGGGCCCTGCCCCCGCTGCCCATCGAGTTCGCTGAATCTGAAGGGGAACTGGGACACACAAATAAATAGGCACAAATAACCAGATTTCCCATTTTTTCAGGGCTTCTGTCTTCCCTCCTTTTCCCATATTTGCCAATATTTTCTGGGGAATCGACGATTAATTGTGCCTGTGTGTTTTTTCCACTCCTGAGAATCGTTGATCGGCCAGGGTAAGCTTCGGATTTCGCTGCCGACCTGCTGCCCCGGTCCCGGCAGCGTGCCGAACTCGTCGGCCGCGGCGTGCCCGCAGTCCTGCGCCGCGTGGCGCTGAAAGGGCAGCGGCTTGGCCCAGCCCTTGATCCTGACGGCGGGACGGTCGGGGAGGGGCTGAGCAGGGACAGACCGTCCCGGCATTCCTATACGTCCTACCGCGAGGTGTTCCTGGACCCCCCCCAGAACACTTCCAAGACCAAAAGCACTGCTCTCAGGACGGGAGCCCGCTGTAACAAAGCAGGACAGGCTCCGCCGGAGATGCTCCGAGAGCATCTCGTGGGCGGGGCGGCCGGGGAGGGGTTGAGCAGGGACCGACACGACCGTCCCGGCACTCCTATACGTCCTACCGCGAGGTGTTCCTGGAACCCCCCCAGAACACTTCCAAGACCAAAAGCACTGCTCTCAGGACGGGGGCCCGCTGTGACAAAGCAGGACAGGCTCCGCCGGAGATGCTCCGAGAGCATCTCGTGGGCGGGGCGGCCGGGGAGGGGGAGGCGGTCAGACCTCCCCCCCCGAGGCCCTGGCGATCCAATGCTTTGAGCTGGGCGCTCTCGCCCGGCGTCGGGCTCCTGGGACCCTCACACGTCGATCGGGCTCGAGGGGTGACGCAGAAGGACGAGGTCCAGGGCTCTCTGGTCGTCGCTCTTCACGATGCTTCCAACTGTTCGAGACGTCGGATCTCGTGGCATAGAACCGAAGATGTCGAGTCTGGGCTGTCTGCGCACTGTCGGACTCTGGGGGCCAGCTTCTGACCCTGGGTTCTGTCAGAAAGGCCGCGCTGACGGCGTGCTGGGTTAACGGTTCGGTTGGGAATCTTGTTTTGTGACACCAGGCTCACGCAAAACAAGATGTAGGAGATCACGGCACACCGTTTCCTACATCTCAGAAATGCGAATGCACCGAACGAAAACGACAGAGCGAATTGTAGGAGGTAGGAGAACACGAACCAGGTGTTCCTACGAGTGGTATGGCCACGAACCACGCCTTCCTACAATCGGTGTTCCTACTTCGCCGTTAGCTAACACACCGTTGGCGGCGCGCACAAAGGGGGCGGAGGGAGGGGGGAGGGCTTCTCAGAAAGAGGCTGCTTCTTAGAAACCGCCGGTCATACATCTGTAGATGAGGACCGTACCTTCTAAGCTGGGGTGCTACGAAGAAGCCCTTCCCCCTCCCCCCATCCCCCTCTGCGCGTGGCTGATCTACGGGGATAACAATCCAGGACGACAGGCCGGTCCCAGAGAGTGGGTCGAAGGGACCAAGGCCCGCATAGACTCGAGACGATCCGGTCGTCGGCGGTCTGGGGCGGAGGAGGAGGAGGAGGAGGCGGAGATGGAGGAGGAGATGGAGGAGGAGGAGGAGGAGGAGGAGGAGGAGGAGGGGGAGGCGATGGAGGAGGATGAGGATGAGGATGAGGATAAGGATGAGGATGAGGATTAGGAGGGGGAGGGGAGGAGGAGGAGGAGGGGAGGATGAGGATGATGATGCGGAGGAGAAGATGGAGGAGGAGATGGAGGAGTGGAGAGGTGGAAGAGGGAGGAGGAGGAGGAGGAGGAGGGAGGAGGAGGAGGGAGGAGGAGGAGGATGAGGAGGAGACGGAGACGGACGGAGGAGGAGGAGGAGGAGGAGGAGGGAGGAGGAGGAGAGGAGGAGGAGGGAGGAGGAGGAGGGGGGGGAGGAGAGTGAAGGCGAGGGCCAAGCTGGGTGCGCTCGCGCGCCTCGTCTGACATCCCATTCCGTGCCCTCCCAGCCCTTCCCGTGGTGCCGAGCTGCCTCCGTCCGCGGGCGCGCGTCGTGGCCGACCCGCGACGCGCGCGCGGGAGGACCGCTCCTCGTGCCTGCGTGCGCGGTCGGAACAACAGGGGGGAGCCGCGGGCACTGGAGGGGGGTGGCGGGTGGGCGGGAGGGGAGAGGAGGAACAGCGGCGGCAGGAGCTGGAGCGGGGGGATCGGGCGCGAGAGCAGGGCCAGGGGGGGCCGGCGGGGGCGGGGAAGCGAGTGGGGCGACAGCGAGGAAGAGAAAGACTCGGGTCAAGGGAAGCGGCCCGCGCTGGGGCGGGACGAACAGCAGCAGCAGCAGCAGCAGCAGCAGCAGCAGCAGCAGCAGCAGCAGCAGCAGCAGCAGCAGCGGGAAGGAGCGGGAGGAACAGGAGGACCAGGGGAAGACGGAGGAGGAGAAATGATTTGGGGGGTACCACAATGAAACAAGACTCGGGTCCAGAGGAGTGGCCCGCGCTGGGGCGAGAGCGCCATTGAGGAACGACGGGAGCGATGCGACGGTCCGCAAATGAGGTCCACGCTGCGGCGGGAGCCACCCAAAGCCATTTGAACGTGGAAGAAAATCCTAGACGCTTGTCTTGGATTCGGATACGTTGTAGCAAACGGGCGCTTTCCTCTAGCGTGTATGGCGAGATGCTGCTGCTTCGCGACGCCACGCCACGTCGCGTTCTCTCTGGGGCGCGCTGGTCACAAAGACGTCCCAATGCTGCGCGTCCAAGCTGAGGAGAGGGGCCTTGCCGTTGCTTTGGTGGGCATCGGCCTCGATCGTGGGCCCTGGTGGGTCATGGGTCTGGGACCTTCTCTTCCTCGAGGGAGGAGCGCAGCATGGTGAAGATGATTTGGTTTTCCTCGCACAGTCTCATCAGCTCGCTCCGGAGCCACCGTCGGTCAGAACGGTGTTGCTTGCAAGTGGTATCGGATTAAGTTTGACGCTTTTGAACAAGTTCGCTGTATGCAGCGACTGCTCGGTCGACGCCACCACTGCTCTGGAAGGCGGCGACGCACATTTCCTTTCGACTGAGGTTGGAGTCCCGCCGAGCCGTTAAGGGAACCTTTCGTCGGCGGCCTTCGCCCTGAGGCTTGGGCTGCCGTGGTGCTGGGTGCGCACGGCGAGGGAGCCATGGCGCGCGCGCGCTGACTTTGTAATCCCCAAACGTGGTGGTGACAACACCTGGCGGTGAGTCTCGGGCGATTTGGTGTCACCACCCGGTTTGGGGACTCATGCGCTTGTTCGAGGATGTCCCGAACGCTGGTGGGTCCAGGAGTCACAAGACCCGGCGGTGAGCCCGTGTCCCCAAACCCGGGGGTGACTTTTTGGGGATTCCAGGTCACCACCTCATATCTCACCACCTGGTTTTGGGGCTCCCGAGTTGACTGGAGGGATGCGACACGCACCGGTCCTAGATGATTGATACGATTGCGGTCTCACGAAGCTGCAAAGGCGCGGAGGAGTAACGCGTCCAAATTCCGTCGTGAACGCGAACACTCTCGGATCGAGACTCGGGCCAACAATAGCTACGGAGCAGGGAAAGACAAAGAGACAGAGAGAGAGAGAAGGATAGGGAAAGAGGGCTTGGGAGAGGAAGAGGGAAAAGAGACATGCCACTGAGAAAGGAGGAAGAAGGGTAACGAGGAGGCAGGAGGGAGGAGCGAGGAGCGAAGAGCCAGGGAGAAAGGAAGGGAGGACGAGGAGGAAGGAGGTGGAGCAGTAACAATAGCAGTAGGAAGCCAAGGACGAGCAGCACGCAACAGCAGCCGCAGGGTCCTGGCCGAGATGGACCGCATGCGCTCTGTGGCGGAAGCGCCCACGCCGCCGCAGTCGTCCCAGGCTGCGCGGTACCCCGGCGGCCTTACCAGGTGCCCGTCCGGCCCCGAACTCATCTGAGAGAACGGGGGGGGAGGGAGTGAGATGAGATGAGCGAACGGCACGAAGCCAGGCTCAATGGTCAAGGTGGCAACTCGAGCCACCCCCTCCGAGGCCATGGGAAAGGCCGAAACCTCTCCGAATTCGCCATCGCTTTTCTCAGCGTCTCCCGTGAGAAGGCGGTCTCCCAGGGCCCTCACCGCAGGGAGAGCTGCGCCCGCGAGGCTTAACGCGCCCCGCGCGCAAACTTGGGAAGCTTGGCCAGAAGATTCGTTCCCACCCCACAACAGATGAACACAAATCCTCTAGCCCTTCCCCTTCTCCGCCGTTTCCTCTTCGCGGTCCTCCTTCCCTCATCCCCTTCGGCATCGTCGTCCTCTTGCCACCTCCTCCCCCTGCTCACAACTGTCCTTATCCTTCCATCCGTCCTTCCTGAATGATGTCTATCATTTCTGCTCCTGCTGCTCCTGTTCACCCGTTTCCTGCTGTGACTCTTGCAGTGTCCTCCTCCCTCTCCTCCTCCTCCTCCTCCTCCTCCTCCTTCTCCTCCTCCTCCTCGGCGCAGTCCTGGCGCACAGGTTCATCCTGTACACGACCACGAAGCCCCGGACCCCTCGGCGGATGGCACGTCGGGGCCCGGGCTATCCTGCAGGATCAGACACCCGTGCACGGTGAGACCTGGTTGAGCATCTCTCTTCAGCACGCACCAGATCAACCGTGCGCCACGGCTGGTCCAGGGCGTACCAGACCTTGTCGACCTGGTACCGCTCCCGCTCCAGATTAGCCAGAACCCGAGGCCCCCACGAGAGCGGAACTGGCTGACCCGAGCACGGGGACGATAGCGCAGGGCAAGAGCCGAGTCCAGCGGCGCCGCACACGGCGCAAGCGACGCCACAGCGTCCAGACTCGGCGAGACGAAAAGGATGCACGACATGCGCACGACCGTCAGGGAGGGCCACGCGCACCGAGGCCGCGTCCGCCCTCCTGAGGGAGAGCGGCGTGCACGGCGGTTAAGGAGGAAGAACGACCAGCGGAGGCCCGCGGGGGTTCGAGGCCTTCCTGCGCTGGGCGTCGGAGACATGAAGAGAGTCGGTGGCGACGAGAGCGGGCCCCACGCGGGCGACCCACGAAGCGAGACCGCGAAGCGCCAGGGCCTTCCTTCGAGCTGCGCCCGCAGGTCAGGCGGAAGGCGATAGAAGTCTGAGGCTTGCTTGGCATACTCGTCGGCCAGATCATTGCCAACCATGTGGGGTGCTGGGTTTTTCCAGACTGGACGTGGGCCTGTGCGGCGTGGCCTTTGACCTGGACAAGGCCGCCCATGCAGCAGATCCCGCCCCAATCGGACAACTGGTGCCAGACATTGCCCCAGAACTCCGCCCAGTGCGACCTGGAGCCGCGGCGCTTGACAGGCCCGCGCTCTAGCACACCGTCGACGACACAACTGGAATCGCTGTAGAAAGCGGTACCTGGCAGCGAGGCGGAGACGCGCTGGGGTGTCCCCGCTGGTCAGCGCCGCCGCCGCGTCGGACGCGCCGGACAAGCTGGCCGCTCTGCGCGCAAGCCCGCGCTCGCGCGGCTGCGGCGACTCGCCGGCCGGCGCCGAGCAGTCATCGCAGTCGCCGAGACACGGGCTTAGAAAACCAAGTCGCGGGGCCCGAAAAAGATGTCGGCGCGCGCGTTGCGCGGGCCATGGCAATGAACGTCGCGCGCCCGACGTCGCCCCCCCCTGGCGATCGGTCGGGGCCTCGTTCGCCACGTGGAAAACGCGCGGCGAGCCGGTGCCGCGCCTTCGAATGCCCGCGGCAAATCGAAGCACGTCGCAACCTGAAAGACAATGTTGAACGCATTTTGCGCGCGGATCGGCCAGCAATTGCAACTTCGATTGCTACTGCGGCAGCCGGGCCTCGTTCTAATAATGCCCCCCTCCATCCCCCGCGCAGCCCCCATCTTTCGCGCTGCCCCCCCTCGCCTCGCCCTTCTCTGCAGAGCAACATTTTGACGCCGCTCGCCGAGGCAGCGCGCGACGGATTTCGACGCGCCCCCCCCCCGCTTTTGCGGAAGCGTCGGCAGAGGCGCCCCCGCGCGCCCGTGGCCCCGAGAGCGCGGAGGCAGCGTCTGCCGCGCGCAATCAATTGTGCCGATGTCGGATTCACCAATGACGGCGCCATTCGCTGCCCGCAGAGACAGCGCCTCTCGCGCCCCGACAATTTGAACTTGCGCCCCGCGCTCGCGCGTGCCAATATGCCCCGTCGCTCCCTGCCGGCGATGGCAAGTGTTCGACGCGCGCCATTGCTGTGTTGCAGTCCAAGCGCTTCGCATCCAGCGCCCCGCCGCTGGCGGAGCCCCTGGCGCCGCCAGCTGGTGGCGGAGGCGGTCGACTGGCGGCGGTGGCTCAGGCAGCCCGCTGGCGACCATGATGTCGATTCTGATTCCAGGCGGTAAAATTGCCCCAGCCCCGTTGAATTTTCTGCCGATGGCCGCCTTGGCGCCTTGGAGCTCGCATGTGTCGCCTGGGTCCAGATCTTCGAACGCCTGCTCCATCGTGAAAATGCTGGGGCCCGGCTGGGCGCCGTCGTCGTCGCCGGCCTCTAAAAACAACAACCCCCTCGCTGAGCGAATTCGTCGTCGCCTGGCGAAGCGTGGCCAGTGAGCGACGTCGACGGCGCCTCTGCGCAAAAAGGCCGCCGAGGTCAAGCGGGCCCTGAAGTCGACCAAAACCCAGGCGGCGGCGAATAACGTGGCTGGTGGGTTCTGGAAGGCCGCGAGCGCGTCGTGGATCCAAATGGGACCGCGGCCCACAATTAATCCTCGACTGCTCGTTGCCTCGACGCGCACGCGCATTAAGAATGCGTTGCGAGGGGGGGGGGGATAAGTGCGCGCGGCCGCGGCGCAACTTTCATCGCGGTGCGAGTGCGGATGAATATCCCATCCTTTAGTGATTCCTGACGTAACATGATGCTTGTGTCGCTTGACTGAATCGTTTCGGGTCCACCTGATCATTGCACCCCTGCTACCCAAAACAGAAGCGGTGACTGCTCCGCGCCACGCCCCATAAGGCGTCGAGCGGAATGCGCCCGCGCGCGAAGCAGTTCCGGTGCTCGCGCTCCGATCCAAGCCGCTTGGCTGCGCCACTGGCGAGGTCAAATTGGCAACGACTTTCGTCATGGCGACGGGGGAAATCAAACTCCGCCCCGTCGCCCATGGAGTCGTCCGATCAGAGGCCCGAAATCGCGCCAACATCGATGGCGACGAAGACGATGACCATGTGGGCGTTTACGACGACGCCGGTCATGGCGATGGCGGCGATGGCGACGACTTTGCGACCGCGGCCGCATGGCCAGTAGCGGGGCCCCCGACGAGAAGGAGGCTTGGGCGTCCTTCGCCGGGGCTGCGCTCCGTCTGAGCAAGAAGGATTTGAGTGCGAAGCTGATCATGTCCATGGGCGAAGTCGCGCTGTCCATGCCGCCTTTCATGGGGTCTGAACGTTTTAACTACTGCTGGGGCGGTGCGGCGCACGCGTGGACGAGAAAAACCAAGGCGAGCTCGCCTGCGCTGGCGGGGGCCGATGGCTACGGCAAGCAGGTCCCGCTATCGAGATCGATTCCTTTGGGGTGGCGTGTCAATGGCGGTTTCGCCGCAGTGCTCTGGCACGCGGACAACAAAAAGATGAACAAAGAGGACTGGTCACGTGGGGGTGAACGGCGGGAAAGTGGCCGCGGCACTGCGCGCACCGAGCCCCCAGAACCAGAAAGGTCCAGTGACCACATTTTGTGATAGCGAATGACTGCCGAGAGCCAAAACCAGCAGGGAGGTTCACAGGACGAAGAGCATTGCCCTTTCAAGCGTTCCTCCGAAGAGTCCCGATATGAACCCAATCGAGATGTTTTGATGCTGGCTTCGCAAAAACCTTCGGTCGATGGACCTGGAGGACTTGCGCAAAAAGCGCCGGCCAGTGGGCAAGACAGCCTCGACCGCCACGGCCAAGCGGGTCCTGGAAGGGACAAAAACCCAAGCCGCGGCGAAAAACGCGGCAAGCCAGGTGCCAGACGGCCTGCAAGCAGGTCGTGGGCCGAAATAGGGCCGCGGCTTGTACGTGCACTGGGAATGAATCGCTGGAAAAGTGATCGACATTGCACACAGCCTTGAGACAAGTTGCATCGATTTGCTGCGGCGGCAAAAATCTATCCATTTCAATACTCCTTATGGTACGCGATGCCTGCGTCATTCGGCTGAGTAATTTCCGACCCGCCTGATGCTGAGACTTCTGCTGCACCAAAACATGTTCGGAAACTACTCCGCGCTAAACCCTAGCATGCGTTGGGCGGGATGCGCCCGCGCGCGGAGTAGTTGGAATACTCTGTCTCCGAACTAACCAGCTTGGCTGCGCGATTGGCGAAAACATATTGAACGAAACTTTCGTCATGGTGATGTTGTGCGTTTCCTCCTCCTTCTCCACCCTACCATCACCATCATCATCATCATCATCACCATCATCATCGTCATTATCATAAGCAGCATCATCATCATCATCATCATCATCATCATCATCATCATCATCATCACCACCATCACCATCACCATTACCATCATCAGAACAGCACTATATGCATGATTTGTCCTCCTCATCTCCTTCCCCCTCCACCACAAAAATCATCCCCCATCCTCCTCCGCCTCCGCATCTGTCTCCCTCCACCTCCGCTTCGTACTCGTCCTCAATTTCTTTCATACGAGATGATCCTTCGCCGTACCATCTTTGGTGTTGGTGCGGCGGCTCACACACGTCGCCTGGTACTTTCTCACCTTTAATTAAACCTGAAGGGAGAAATGTCCAACATGTACATGCATGGAGGGCGACTTGTTTTCAACATGTGGCTCTCGCCTCAACGCCGCACATCCGTTGCCATCTCAAAACCGTGCACCAACGACACAAATCGATACCGCATCTTTTTCACGATGTGATTCTCGACGTAGCGCCGTGCAAATTCCTTTACAATTCTCCATATGCTTCACACATTCAGGATCTCGCCAGCGCATCGCGCACATGCTTCCTAAAACTGGGCGGCATGGTTCAAACATGTGTCTCGCGCGTGTGCTTCTTCAAACAGTTGACGCCAGGCGTTAACAGTGGCGGAACAACTCCACGGATGTGGGCGGTTTCTTTTTCCAAAGCGGGTCTCTCATGTGAAACTTTTGATGCTTGCGCGATCATGTATTCATAGTTGCGCAATAGCTGCAGGGATGGAAGGCCCTTCTTTTTGAAACCTGTGGCCCCTCGTTTATGCACCCCGTAGAATTGAAGGGGGCGGAGGGCAACCATGCTCAAACAAAAAACCTCTCGCGCGAATGGCAAGCCCATGGGCCGCTCACTTTTCGGGGGGCGCCCCCCGTGGCGAGATGGGAATATGGAAGAGGCCAGGGGCTCGGGACGGGAAGGCGCACTGCAGCGCCATTGGCGCATCTTGGGTCTACTCTGGTGGTCCTCGTCCTCCTCCTCAACCTCCTTCTTCTCCTCCTCCATCCCTCTCGGCCTGCTTTCCCCCCCCCTTCCTCCACCCTCTCCCCTCCCCCTTTAATCGCCCTCGCGATGTAGCTGGGTGGCCTGGCCGGCGTGTCGTCCTGCGCGGACACCGCAAAATTTGCGTCGTTGTTCAGCTCGCCGGCGCTCGCTGTGACGATCGGCTGCTGCTCCTGCTCGCCGAGCACGCCGCGGCGCAAACTGGCGTTCGCGCGGGGGGCGACCGCGGCCGCCAGGAGGGCGACGAAAGCGCTGCACTTCATTGCGGGACGGGGAAAGGCGAGGCCCCGACCTCAAGACGACCTCAGGAAACTCGCGTCGGAAACTTTTCATCGGCGTCCTGGAGAGCCGCTTCGGGGCCCGGGACAAATATAGTCAAAACAACTTTGCCAGCGTGGACCCCGACGAGTGGCATGCTGCACTGTGGATGTGTAAACTGCGCAATCTGATATATAACGTATGCTGTTCGCGATATGGCGCAATAGATGCGGTGCACCATCTGTAGCGTGAGCTAAGTGGTGCAAATTACGTGGTGCAATGTGTGGTGCGAGTGATTTTTGGAAACGGGTTGGCAAATTCTGCGTTCTTGCAAACATCCCCCCGCCCGCAACTTGGCTTGCACCCGTGAGGCGGCGATTGCGATGAGTTGTTGGCGTTGGCTGGCGCGTGTTTGCGGCTGCGCTTGCCCGCGCATGCTTGCGCGCACCGCGGCCAGCTAGTCTGGCGCGACCGAGGCGGCCGCGGTGGCGCTGACCGCTGGGCACCTCCCACCGGGCACTTCCATGCGAGTCGGTGACTTGGGCGAGCGCGGTATCATGGCGACGCCGACAACGGTAGACACGACCACTGGAGTAGCGATGATGGTGACGATGGTGGCGGTGACGACGGCAAGGTCAACGACGGCGCCGGTGTTGATCACGTCCGCCGATAACGATGACGATGTCCTCGCGTCGGCGATGAAGGTGTTTGAAGGAATTCGGCATGTGCGCGCGGCCGACGCCCGCGACTGTCTCGCGTGGTGTTATTTAACACGGATCGTGCCCCCCCAACACGCGCGCACATGCGCTCGGATGGTTTCGACATGCGGCGCGAAAAGGCCCGATTGGCAGCAGTTGATGGACACGTTGTAGACACGATGTGTTTTCTTTTCAGAATTCGGGAAAGCGAGAGCGCAGGATTTCTGTCAAACCGATGTTGAACAGCCGTTTTTTTTATATATATATATATATATATATATATTATTATTATTATTACTATATATATAAAGCAATGCATATGTTTTCGGGGCGCTCGATGTTGAAATCTTCAAGGACACGGCATGCGCGCGCGACGACACGCGCGTGTGCACTTCGTCTCGTTTGCTGCAAGGGGTTCTTTAGACAACACGCGCTCGAAGGTGTTCGAACGATTTCGACACGCCCGCGCGGGAGGCCAAATTGAAGGCATGTTACGGAAATCTTGAGAAACCAATTGCCTTCTTGAGAATTCGCAAGTGCGCGAATGCTTGCAACAGTTTTTTAATGTTTTCGTGGGGCGGTCGATTTTGGAATACGTACGACACCTGGGGTTTTTGAAAGACTCGGCATGCGCGCGCGACGACGCGAGCGTGCGTACTTCTTTGAACTGTTTGTGCAAGGGAAGCTTGAAAACGGATGATGGTTGATAAACGAGTGCGCGCGCACCATATTTTGGCTGAAGATGATAGGGGGGTGCGGCCTCCGACTTGCTTGGGGAGTACGAGTTTGCATTTTGGATGGACGGGTTGGGTATAATCAGATGTCAATTGCAATACGAAGGGGTGTACCGTTAATCCGGGGAGGGGGAGGCTAATGTTTTATACGAGAGAGAGGGGAAAAGAGAGAGAGAGAGAGAGATAACAAGAGAGAGAGAGAGAGAGAAAAAGAGAGAGAGAGATAATCTATATGGGGCGCGAACTATGTAGTGTGATCACTGCCGTATAAGCCGTGCGGTGCGAGTGTGCGGTGTACATTACGTAACGCAGTCCATCCTATGCGTACAATCTCTGTGATGTGAGCCATCTGGTGTAGGCCACAATGTGTGAGCTCCGTGGCGCAAGCACTGTGGCACAATATAGGTGGTATGAGCCTCGCCATCGCTCGGACGTCCATTCCCTGTTTTTTTTCGGTTTCGTGTGCGTTTTTTTTTTTTTTTTTTTTTTTTTTTTGTTCGCCAGATGATCAAGGATGCTCCTCGATTGGCCCTCGCCGAAGGAAAAATGCACACGTCCGAGCGATGCCAGGGAGCTCTGTGCTGCAAGCTGTGCGTGGTGTGACCTACAGTGCACGCCCACGGGGCCTCCGCAGGGCGCCCACGGGCGGCACCTACAGCGAAGCCTCGGCGGACCCGCCCAACGCCGGGGGCGCCCACGAGGCGCCCACCGCCGGCAACGTGGCGAGACCTCGGCGGACCCATCCAATTCCTGAGAGGCAGTGCAGTCGGGGCGTTGACCAAAGGAACCCTAGATAAGAGACGAGGCCCCTTTTTCCGTAAGGTAAGCTTCGAGTTCCGATCGAAATCATAGGGGAAACCTGAGGCAAGCTGTGAAACACTTGAGGAACGCGGAGCCCCTCCCCAACGAAAAGCGTTCCTTCTTCAGGGCCCCGACTGTAGTAAAACCCCTGAGCGCAAGCACTGCTTGGGTAAAAACGCTCGGGGTGAGCAGCTGGTCCCAGGGAACATCGAGAGGTCCAGGGGCCATCGGCTCGAAAAAACTGAGTCGCCGGAGGTCTGAGGTGGCTGATCCCACAGGTCGTCTACAGGTGGCTGGTCGCACACAACCTTGAAAACGGCTACGGAGATCCAGGGGACGGGAGGGGAAAGGAGGCATCAAGGGATGCGGTAAAGGATGGAAAGGAAGCGAAGGGGAAAAGGGAAGAGAGGGGAAAGAAGGAGGGAGGGGGAAGGGGGATGGGGAGGGAAAGGGGAGGGAGAGGAAGAGAGGCAGAGGGACAGCGGGCAGGGGGCTCAGGAGAGCACATGGACACACGGGCAGGGACACGAGGGACACGGTGGACCCAAGGGACGCGGGGGACGGGGACACGGGGGACACGACCAGCTGCAATGGCTTGTTCTCGACGGCGTGGTACTCGCACAGACTGCGGCAAGGAAAGAGGGATGGCGAAGGAAGCGGAAGGGCATGCTGACTGGAACGAAACGCCATGCTCTTCATCTTCTCTGCTGTTTTGTGTTCTGCCCCTGGCCAGGCGGGATCGATTGAAAGCCCGTCGAACCCGGCCAGCTTCACGCACGTAGGCCAGATTCGGCCAGCATGCCTGTCCCCCTTGTTGATGACTGCTGTCGTATGACCATTCACCACAGTATCGATGCAGCCATCACCAACAGCATCAACGCAGCCGCCCACATCATCATGATCAAGATCATGATGATCATCAACATCATCATCATAACCCCAACCAAAACCAGAACTATCATCATTATCAGCATCATCATCATCATCAGCACCATGATCAGAACCATGATGATGATCCTCATCATCATCATCATCATCATCATCATCATCATCATCATCATCGTCATCGTCAGCATCATCAGCATCGTCGTCGTCAACACTATCATCAAAATCATCACTTATCATCATCATAACCATCATCATCACCATCATCATTCGCACTGTCGTCGTCGACGCCATCACAATCATCCTCATCCCCATGATCAGAATCACCATCATAAAACATCATAAAACATCACGATCATCATCATCAGTGCTGTTCTTGCCGGCGACAGCGTGTCACCATCATCACCATCAGCAGCATCATCAGCATCCACGTCATCATCATGCTCATCATCATCACCATCATCATAATCATCATATTCATCATATTCATTGTACTCATCAACATCATTGTTGTCACCTTCGTTGTCATCATCATCATCATCATCATCATCACCATCCTCATCATCACCGTAATCATTACCATCACCACCACCACCATCAGCATCAACATCAGCATCCTCATCACCATCCTCATCCTCATCCTCATCCTCCTCCTCGTCGTCCTCCTCCTCCTCATCCTCATCCTCGTCCTCATCCTCATTCTCATCCTCCTCATCCTCATCGTCATCGTCATCGTCATCCTCATCCTCCTCCTCATCCTCATGATCATCCTCATCCTCATCCTCATCCTCCTCCTCCTCCTCCTCCTCCTCCTCATCATCATCATCATCATCATCATCGTCATCATCATCATCATCATCATCATCATCATCATCATCATCATCATCATCGTCATCGTCATCGTCATCGTCATCGTCATCGTCATCGATATCGTCATCGTCATAATCGAGAGAGCGTGATCCATCGCCGCTTTGCTGTGGAAAATTCCCCCTCCTCTTCCTCTGGAGCCCGGGGGTTCCCCCCTTCCCTCCGAAATCCCCCCTCCCTGCTCGAACCTCTCCCTCCCCCTCCAACGGCAACCTCCCCCCCAACCCCCCCGGTAGTGACCCCCCCCTGAAAACTGGGGGGTCCCCCTCCGGAAAACAAACCGGGAGGGGGTCACTACCGGTTCGACCCCCCACCCCCACTGTTCCCACCACTGTCCCACTGTCCACACTGTTCCCACCACTGCACCACTGTCCCCAGTGTCCGCAGCAGTGCCCTCACCACTGTCGCGCAGTCCCCACTGTCCCCACTGTCCCAACAACTTTACCACTTGCCCCCACCACTGTCCCACTGTCCCCACTCTTCCCTCCACTGTCCCACTGTCCCCACTCTTCCCACCAGTGTCCCCACCAGTGCCCCAACCACTGTCGCGCTGTCCCCAGTGTCCCCACCAGTGTCCCCACCACTGTCCCACTCTCCCCACTGTCCCCATTGTCCCAACAACTTTCTCACTGTCCCCACCACTGTCCCACTGTCCCCACTGTCCCCACCGCTGTCCCAGTGCGCTGTCCCACTGTCTCCATTTTTCCCACCACTGTCCCACTCTTCCCACCACTGTCCCCACTGTACCACTGTCCCATCGTCCCACCACCGTCCTCGAAACCGCCTTCACCACTTTTTACACCACCACCGTTCCCACCTCTGTCCCACTGTCCCACTGTCCCCACAACCGTCCCACTGTCCCCTCACCACTGTCCCACTGTCCCCACTCTTCCCACCACTGTCCCACTGTCCCCTCTTCCCATCACTGTCCCCACCAGTGCCCCCACCACTGTCGCGCTGTCCCCAGTGTCCCCACCACTGTCCTCACCACTGCCCCCACCACGGTCCCAGTCCCCACCCCACCACTGTGCCACTGTCCCCACTCCCCACCCCCATCCCCACCACCGTCCCAACCACTGCCCCCACCAGTCCCCCATCCGGAGTTGGGGAGGAGGGGAAGTCGTTTGCCGACGGCGAGGAGGGTGGGGGGGGGGTTCGAACTGGTAGTGACCCCATCCCTTTTCTTTATGGACCCCAAGGGGGGTGGAACCTCCAGAGACGCCCCCCGGCTTTCGAGGAGGGGGGGGACGGGTTGGAACCCCCCAGTTCCCCCCCCCCCGGTTTTCTGCCAGCAGCGGCAGAACACGCTCTTTCTCATCATCATCATCATCATCATCATCATCATCATCATCGTCATCATCATCATCATCATCGTCATCATCATCATAGCCATCATCATCAGCATCATCACCATCATCATCATCATCAAAACCATCAACATCATCATCATCGTCATTCTCATAAGCATCATGATACTCGCTATCACCATACTCATGATCATCATGATCTGAATCACCATCATCATCACCGAAAGTATCATCATCTAAATCTTCATCAGCATCAGTATCAGCATCATAATCGGCATCATCATCATCGCCATCACCACCACCATCCCCACAATCATCACCATCATCATCCTCCTCTCCATGTCATCAACTCCATTGTCATCGTCATCATAAAACTTATCATCATCATAATCAGCATCATCATCATCGTCATCAACATCGGCATCGTCATCGTCATCATCATCATCATCATCATCATCATGATCATCATCATCATCACCATCGTCATCAACATCATCATCCTCCTCCTCATCATTATCATCGTCATCAACATCACTGTCATGATCATCATCATGATCATCATAGTCATCATCATCGTCATCAACATCGGCCTCGTCATCATCATGATCATCATGATCATCATCACCATCATCATCGCCATCACCGCCATTATCACGGAAATCATCATCATTTAAATTTTCAACAGCCTCAGTATCAGCATCATCATCAACATCATCATCGGCATCATCATCATCATCATCATCATCATCGTCATCATCATCATCATCATCATCGTCATCATCATCATCGCCATCATCATCAGCATCATCACCATCATCATCATCATCAAAACCATCAACATCATCATCATCGTCATTCTCATAAGCATCATGATACTCGCCATCACCATACTCATGATCATCATGATCTGAATCACCATCATCATCACCGAAAGTATCATCATCTAAATCTTCATCAGCATCAGTATCAGCATCATAATCAGCATCATCATCATCGCCATCACCACCACCATCCCCACAATCATCACCATCATCCTCCTCCTCTCCATGTCATCAACTCCATTGTCATCGTCATCATAAAACTTATCATCATCATAATCAGCATCATCATCATCGTCATCAACATCGGCATCGTCATCGTCATCATCATCATCATCATCATCATCATCATCATGATCATCATCATCATCACCATCGTCATCAACATCATCATCCTCCTCCTCATCATTATCATCGTCATCAACATCACTGTCATGATCATCATCATGATCATCATAGTCATCATCATCGTCATCAACATCGGCCTCGTCATCATCATGATCATCATGATCATCATCACCATCATCATCGCCATCACCGCCATTATCACCGAAATCATCATCATTTAAATTTTCAACAGCCTCAGTATCAGCATCATCATCAACATCATCATCGGCATCACCATCACCATCACCAGCATCATCACCATCATCCTCATCCTCCTCATCATCATCGTCATCAACATCATCGTCATCGTCATCATCATAGTCCTCATCATCATCATCATCATCGTCATCGTCATCAACATCATCGTTATGATCATAATCGTCATGATCATGATGATGATGATCATCATCATCATCATCATCACCGCCATCATCGCCATCACCGCCATCACCACCATCATCGCCATCACCGCCATCACCATCACGATCACCGTCACCGCTCCGCCCTCGCTCGCCTTCCGGTCTCGGCACGCCGCCGCAGCTACCGCCGCTCGGCGGCCAGGCGCCCAGCCACGGCCAGGGCCAGCAGCGGCGCGGCACCCGCTGCGCGGGCGAGACGTGCCCTGCTGGCCACCACCTGCAGCTGTTGCCCGCACGTGTCGGCCGAGGGCGCGGCGGCCGCCACGTGGCACTTTCGAGTCGCGGCGATCTGGGCGTACAGGTGGTGCTCGGGCCGGAGGGAGCACTCGAGGTAGTGCAGGTGCAGGACCTCGAACGGCTGGGAGCACTTGTACGGGCACGCGTCCTCGGAGCCAGCGGCGACTCCTTGGCAGTAGGTCTGGATCTCGGCGATGTGCTCATCGTACAAGCTGTCACCTGCCTCGGTGCACGCGATCTCCTCGTAACTGTGGCAATGGCACGCCGATCTCACGGCCTTCACAACGACGTCCACAACCGCTGGTGATCCGGTCGGCTGGACACCTTGCTCTGAAACGGTCACTGAATAGCCGGCGACGGAACACGCACCATCTATACCACCAGTGATCCATGCAAGGCCTTGAGCTGATGTGCAAAACTCACTACATTGGTCGGCCTCAGCACCGTACTCCGCATTCCCAAGGACGTGCGCAATGATTTCTCCTTCCTGGCACAAAATCCGCCACCGCGCTTGCAGCCGTAGGTGTGTGTGTGTGTGTGTGTGTGTCGGGCCCTCTCGCCCCTTGCGAAGCAATAGTTTGGGCCCCCCGACGCAGCGAGCCCAAAATGCGTTCATCCTTGTGCCTGAGTCCCTGCGTTTCCCGGCCTTCCAAGCAGCACATGTGCCCCAAGTGCGAGGCTGGGGGAGGGACCTTCAATGGACCCCCACCGCCCCGGCGCTCGCCCACGCCCCCCCCCCCTGGGCACCCGCCCGAGCGCGGCGGCGGCATCGCGCGGCAGCACCACGGGATGTCCGGATCTGGCTGGCTCTTCACAACAACACTCACGGCAGCTGGTGTTAAGTCGGGCGTGTCCCTCTACAGGGGGATTTTCGACAAATACGCAAAAAATACTCCGAAATGGCCAGAACATGCTAACAAAAATAGTCCCCATAATATTTTTTGACTATTTTGTATATTTCCTCCTGTCGAAGGACGGGCCCGACTCAAAACTGGTGATCCGGCTGGCTGGACCGACTGCTCCGAGACCGTCACCGAGAAGCCGGCGTCCGAACATGTCCCCTGTGCCCCACCGGTGATCCATGCAAGACCCGCAACCGAGGTGCAGAACTCGCTGCACTCGTCTGTCCGGGCACCGTACTCGGAGCTGCCAAGAACGTGTGCTGTGATTTCTCCCACCTGGCAAAGAACCTCGGCGTCCGCAAAGGCTTGATCGTGGCACCTCATACCGTCAGTGCTGTCCTTGACTTCCACTGTAAGCTTCTGGCCGAGCCCACAATGGCCAGTCATCTGGCATGAATAATGGAAAATGCCTGCCTGGTCGAAGGTCACAGCTGTGCCGGAGAGCACTTCGCCGACAGAGAGGATCTGAGTGCTCTCCGAGAAGTCGCACTGCTCCAGTTTGGATGCCGACGCCATCTGCACCAGATTGTGGGGCCACGTGTCCCCAGCGGACGTGAAGTACAAGGCCGAACCTCTGAATATTGCCAGGGAGGTAACATTGTAATCGTTGATGTGCGGTCTGGGGGTGACCCACTGCACAGGGTATGTGCTGCACGGCTTCCCCCGGGGCCGTCGGCGACCCGAGGAGGAGGAGGAGGAGGGGGAGGTGGAGGAGATGGAGGGGGAGGAGGAGATGGATGAGGAGGAGGAGGAGGAGGAGGAGGCGGAGGAAATGGAGGAGGAGGGGCAGGAGGAGGAGGAAGAGGAGGACGGGCCGACGAAGCCCTTCGGAGAAACCCTCCAGTATGTGCAGTCGCCGAAGATGTTGTGGGAGTGGCACTCCTCGCCCGTGCAGCCGAGGATGCAACTCTGGGGCTGCTGCTCCCAGTCCTCGGCAACCTGGGCTGGCGGGCACTGCGTCGCGCTCGGCCCCCCAAAACTGTCGCCGATCGCGCCGCAGCTTCCAGCGGCTGGGAAGCCGCCGTACTCGGCCATATCCTTTGCCTCGTAGAAGTGCGACGAATACGAGGAGAAGTTCGCCATCGTGCCACAGAACGGGCACTCGGCGTCTGGCATAGCATAAGCCGTGGTGAAGTCCTCCGGCCAATCGCAGCACGCGAAGCTGAGCTTCGCGGGCGTGCCGTCGGCAGAGAAGACGGCGAAGCGGAACGAGCCGCCGTCCGCGGCTATGAGCGTCTCGTCCAGCAGGACCCAGCTGTGGGTGTCCCCGTAGGGCTCGTGGAAGTGGCACCGGCCGTCGGCCACGTCCGAGGCGCTCGCCATCTCGGCGCTGCGCAAGTGCGCGCAGTTGCTCTGGTCCTCCAGGCGGTGGGTGGCTCGACGGGGACGGCGCCCTCCGTGCCACCCGGTCCCCTCCCCTCCCCTCTCCGTGGCAGCTCACGGGAGCCTCAGTGCTGACTCTTGCGAATCGACGCTGACCCACGCGGGTCGACGCCAGTCGACGCTACTCAACGCTAAGTCCACGCTGGTCGACGCCAAATTGGCGCTCTCTCAAGGACTACCAGCCGCTAGCGTTAGGAAGTCCAGGGTTCGCTAGGGACCAGTTTCCTGTCAAGACAACCGACACCATCCCGAAACCCTGCGAAAACCGTCCGGGAAGGATTCCAAGGTGTTTCAGAGGGTTGCAGGAAGGCTTTGGAAGGGTTTTCGTCGTTTTGGGGGGTAACCAGTCCCCGGCGAACCCTGGGCTTTCTGAAGCTAGCGCACGCTAATCCACTATTCGGCCTTCGACAAACCTCCCTTTAGTGAAAACGGCCTAGGGCCGAAACCGACGGACCTGGACCCGCAAAAATGACGGCCGCGACGCCCTCTCGCGAACCGAAAAGCGCCAATTCGCTAATCGACGTGTCAGGGTAGGAGCTCTGTCAACCTCCGAACTAGAAAGACGGAACTGCGAGGACACACAGGGCTCCCTTGCGTTGCTGCCGCACCTCCCAAAGGAATCGAACTCTATACACCGACGCGTCTTCCGGCCCTGCATTGGAATTTGCACTGGAGAACGGATCCTGGTGTATACACGGCACCCTGGTGTCTGCATTTTCCGTCGTTTTCCCGGGACATCGGGGACAAAACGTAGATACACCACGCCACCCCAGCGTCGTCCTCGACCCCGACGAGATCCTGGGAGTGAAAAAACAACCCGCCTCTGGTGATGCACACGCTCCAGCCTCCGACCTCCCCGGCGAACCCTGGGCTTTCTGAGGCTAGCGCACGCTAATGCACTATTCGGCGGTGGACAAACCTCCCTTTAGTGAAAGCGGCCTAGGGCTGAAACCGAGGGACCTGGACCCGCAAAGATGACGGCCGCGACGCCCTCTCGCGAACCGAAAAGGGCCATACGCTCCAGCCTCCGACCTCCCCCTCCCTCGGCGACGCGCACGAGCGGCCCCGCGCAGGAGCGCCCCATCGCTGCGCCGCCTGCGGGCGCACGGCGACCCCGAGGGTGCCGCCTCCCCCGAGGGCGACCACCGAGAGTCACACGGGGCAGCGGGCGCTCCGCAGGGCGCGCAGAGGAGGAGGAGGAGGAGGAGGAGGAGGAGGAGGAGGAGGAGGAGGAGGAGGAGGAGGAGAGGAGTAGGAGGAGGAGGAGGAGGAGGAGGAGGAGGAGGGAGCAGCGAGGATGGATGGAGGAAGCGGATCACCACGAAAGAACATCGGGGAGCCAAACATCGGGAGCGGCCGAGGGGGAGGGGGAGGAGGAGGAGGAGGAGGGGGAGGAGGGGGAGGGGGAGGAGGAGGAGGAGGAGGAGGAGGAGGAGGAGGAGGAGGAGGAGGAGGAGGCCGACTGCCTGCCGACCCGCAGAAGACTCGGGAGCGGCCAAGAGGGGGGTGTCCAAGAGGGGGGGGGTGCAAATCATGACCGGCGGCATGTGCGCGGCCCAGCGGGGGGGCCTGGGCCGTGATGAAATAAGAGGCGCCATGAAATCTGAGGAAAAATCATGGCCCGCGCCATGAAATCCCCCCCCCCCTAGTCATCACCCCCCTCTTTTCCGCTCCCGAAAACAGTGACGTAAACATCGACTCAGGAACCTGGTTTAGTGATATGTACCGGGGGGCGCCCCCCCCCTCCCCGTTCCACTGACCGGAACTGCCGTCACCCGAAAAGCACCAGCTACGGCAGACCTGGCTTATAGTGATTCCAGTCCATATTTTGTGCTTCGGGGCCAAATCAATAACTGGCTCCCCTTAACCGGGGTCCTGGCTATACCCGATGATCATCACGAGGGAACATCGGGGAACCAAACAGTGACGTAAACATCGACTCAGGAGATCCGCGCGGATTTCTTGGATCGGCGCTGGGGCACCCTGGCGGCGCCTCAGGCGCCGCCCCTGGCTCGCTCCGCGCGCCAGGGAGGGGGGTCGAGCGCCGATCCAGGAAATCCGCGCGGACCTGCTCCTCGAGAAGATCCTCTACCGCCAAAGGCGGCTCACGCACCCGTCTTGGTGCACGTGCCGAGCAACAGATTGCTCAAGGGAGGGGGGGGGGGCAGACCCGCGCGCGCAAGCCCTTACCATCGCATCGTGCTCAGCAATCGTTGGGGCACTGGTGGGCCGACACAAGGTCACTCTCTAGAAGAAGAAAAAACTGCATAAACGAGAACTTTTGGCGCTCCGCGCGGATTCCTTGGATCTGCGCTGGACCCCCCTCCCGGGCGCGCGGAGCGCGCCAGGGGCGGCGCCGGGGGGGCCCAGCGCGGATCCAAGAAGTCCGTACGGAGCGCCAGCAGTTTCTGTTTGTGCAGTTGTCTCTTCTTCGAGGAAGGTCACCCTGGCGAAGGGCCGCTCTCACGTGTGGTAGCTCCCTCCGGTCGCTCCCCCAGGCGCTCCTCTGGGGAGGCGAAGAGCGCGGCGCCCTCCCCGTCCCGGATGTCCGCCAGCACGTCCGCGGGCACCCGGGCCCGCTCGGCGCTGGACAGGTTCGGCAGCCCTGGGCCGATGACGAGCACGCTGACGCGCACGTCGGCAAACCGCTCGATCACCGGGACCGTGACGGTGAAGGACAATTCGGTGGCAACTCACGGGAGCCTCCCGTACAATTGTGTCGGCTCTTGCGAATCGACGCTGGTCGACACCAAATCGCCGCTACTCGACGCGAAATCGATACTAAGTCGACGCGAATCGACGCTATCTCAACGACTCCTAGACGCTCATCGACGCATGCCGACGCTAAAGGCAGAATTCAGAGGGCGTACCAAGCTCCCATGATTTGCTACCGAATGACAGGCTCTGGCCCAAGGCCACGTCCTCGGCTTTCAACCAGAACACGGGCGCGTCACAGGTGAGCATGCGGTAGGACGCCCACGAGATCGCCGGGTTCGGGACCTCTCCGAAAACACGAACACTCGCTTTGATGATACCAGCCTAGCTCGAAACTTCACTTGTTTGTCTTGCCTTTGACCTGGGCTGTTGGAAGCAGAGCTGAAGCAGACGTGCCACAGGTTACGAGCGCGCATCCGAAAAATCTGACCTCAGACGGCCCGCGTTCTGGCCTTCTTCTCCGACGCCACGGCTTACTCGTTGCCGTGGGTCCCCCCCAAGCTCCGGGGATGGACAAACATCCCTTTAGTAAAACGTGGTTTAGTGAAAACTACCTCAGGCCCAAGCCTGGCGGGCGCAAGCCTGGAAAACGACGGCCGCGGCGCCCTCTCGAGAACCGAAAACGGACAGTTCACTAATCGACGTGGCAGGGTGGGGGTTCTGTCCACCCCCCAAAGCTCTCGAAGCCAGCCCGGGGAGACCCGTTTTTCGCCCTGGGCCCAGACGCCGCCCAGATCGGAGGGGGACAGAAGTAGCCGCCACGAGTTCCCTCGAGGGACTACGCACCCCCACAACGACCACCCCGACGCGCGAAGCCGTTTCGCCAGCGCACCCTCAGCAAGAGTCGAACGGGGCAGGGCTGTTTGGTAAACGCCCAAGGGTCCGGGTGGTTTTCCTAGAAGAAGAAAGAAGAAGAAACACTGCATAAACATAAACTTGTGGCGCTCCGCGCGGATTTCCTGGATTCGCGCTGGGCCCCCTCCCTGGCGCGCGGAGCGCGCCAAGGGCGGCGCCGGAGGGGCCGCCGGGGGGGCCCAGGCGCGGATCCAAGAAATCCGCGCGGAGCGCCAAAAGTTTATGTTTATGTGGTCTTGTTCTTCATTAATTTTTGCTCGCGACCTCCAGCGCTGCAGCGGAAGTCGAAAACTGATTGCCGCACGTCACGCCCGGAGGCAGCGAGCGGTGCCCGCCAGCCAGGCCGGCCAGCATGAGGCAGAGGGCCACCTGGACACGCGAGGGCGCGAGCATCTCGTCGCCGTGGCCACGGCTCATTGCACCGGCCTTGCAGAGGTGCTGCAGCGGATTTCTGCGTGGATTTTTGCCCGAAACGGCGAACGACAAACGAAGTGAATTTCGCGTGGGTTCTTCTTGGTCTTCGTTCCTCGCCAACCACAAATCCGCACGAAATTCACTTTGAAATCTGGAGCGAAATTCTCCGGGAAATCCGGCACGAAATCCGCTCTGCGATGTTGGCGCCATGACACGGCGCCCGCGCCATCCGGAGCCAGTGAGGCAGAGCAGCGGAAAACTCTCGAGCCGAGAAGGTTCAGAGGAGGAGTCATCTGAGTGACGATCAAAAACGGGTCTTACTGAAGGGGCCCACAAACTCACAAATAAATACACACAAATAAAATGATTCCCCATATTTTCCAACATTTTCTGGGTTTTTGTCTCCCCCCCCACTTCCCATATTTTCCCATATTTTCTGGGGGATCGGCGATTAATTGTGTCTGTGTTTTTTCCCCTCCCGACTTGCGCGAGATGGCATAGCGACCTTCCACGAGGGCTCCCACGGGCCGCCGGCGCAGCACGGTGCGCTGGAAGCGAGGGCGGCCGCGCGCGGCCCCATGCGAGCAGCTTGCCAGGCAGTGCCAGACCATGCCGAGCAAGGATTCCAGGCAAATCCGAGCAACGCCGAGAAATGCCAAGCAATGCAGAGCAATGCGAAGTGTGTAATGCAACACGATGCCAACCAATGCAAAACGAATGCAGAGCAATGCAACAGTTATGCAAAGCAATGCCACGCAGTGCAAAGCATTGCCAAGCAACGCCAAGCAAACCAAAGCAACGCCAAGCAATGCCAGACAATGTCGAACAATGCCAAGCAATGAGACCCAGTGGCAAGCGCTGCCAAGCGACGCCAAGCAATGCAATGCGAAGCTTTGCAAAGCAATGCCAAACAATGTATTGCAACATAATGCAAAACAATACCAAGCAACGCAAAG